TCTGTTGGATTTTAGTCCCCTCCCCAACTTGGGTCTTATTTTTAATGATGTGGCGCTATTTCTGATGACGTGTCATTTACTCTTTGCCCAAATATATTTCCACTTAATTTTTTTTCCATTTTTTCCATTTACTCTTTGCCCAAATATATTATCTATTCTATTTTGAGAAAGCATCTAACTAAAAATCACAATAAGTAAAACATTAAAAGAATTCTTCAAAAAATCTCTTCTTGTCTCCTAGTTTAAAATGTGAAGATGAACCCTAAGTACAAATTCTGAAATTGTCATTTTCAGTCTACTCGTTGATCGATTTGGTTGCTTATCTCTAAAATGGAAAACCCAAGTTACATTTCGAAGTATGTATGTTCTTCCATAATCTGGTTTTACTCAGGGTTGTTATCTTCATCGCTCATTTTAAAATGTCATTCTCGTTTATAAAATGTTGGGCGTTTAAGTTTATTTGATTCGTTTAAGTTGATTTAATTCATTTAATTTGCGTGTTTAAGGCAATAATGATTCTGAAATGTGATTTTGCTTAGGGTTGTTGTATCTATAACACCCTTCTAAACGCCACGTGATATATATATAAATAATCAGAGTAAATTATCATGCATCTCAAATAAAGGTGTCACATGTAATTCAAAACATCACACATATACTTGTCATTCTCAATAACACTTAAAATAAATTTATATTTTTCATATACTTTCACATAGCATGTAGCAGCGGAATTACTTCAATCATAAATTAACATAATGAAAGCCCCATGATCAACTCATTCATAAACATCACTTAGGCATAAAAGCCAATACTCCATATAATTCAAATAACAAGAACAAAATAAAGTAGAGTACATGAAATATCTCCCAAACCATGAATCAAAATGTTCCCAATATTACATGATTAGAGCATGACTCAACCCAAAATAAATAGAGAAACTAAAATAAGATATTCTAACTCTACTCTTCGGTACCTGAGTGATGTCGTACAAAACATCATTCCAACAGAAGAGTGAGAATTCACATAATTATCGAAATCATAAGATAATATATAATGTATGGCGTACAAACATAACATAATTATTCTCACACTTCAAAAGCTTCATCAACATATTATCACCCAAGTGACCATACTATTCACAAGTACATACTTACAGTTCCATAATTCGTCAATTTATGAATTTCACATACTTCGCAGAATCTCATATTACAAACATATACCTGATGTGACTCAATGCAAGACTCTAGTGCAACTCATGCATGTGGTACCAATCACTTGTTATTATTTGACAATTTTTATATTAAGCTGAATCTATTCCCTATACCAATAACACACAAAAAGCCCATTCCCTAAGCTTTCAAACCCCGTTCTAGGTTTGGAACAAGTCACTAATTCCCAAAAAACTAACAAGCATTACCTCTTGACAAAAAATGATGCATGTGCAAGTTCAACAACCATATGAAATTAAGACCATTACCTAATCTTAACATTCATGCATATTTTCAATAATTCATCACACTTGAATTACCACAATGTTACACATACTTGCACATTTTTATGAATCACCACCCACACACAATTCACTTTCTAATGATATACAACAAATTTTACAATACAATCACGACTATATTATCATTAAAACAAGCAATAACTATCTTGCATTTTATGTTGTTACACCCAAAATAGACTTATACAAGCGCGCGCACACACACACACACACACACACAAGTATTCAATAAATTATCCATAAATAATTTTACAACCGGTAGAAAACAGGACAAATAATCCATTAATAGAACATATACGCAATTGGCTCCCCAAACATATTAGATATAAAAATATTGGACAACTAGTTCTCTTATCTATACTATGATATAGCTCTATAGATAGTAATAGATGACAATCATGACAAATTTTGCAAAAAAAAACTTGGCAGTTTTATGCTCTATTTTGTGTTTTCGATCATTGAATTCCCCAAGTTTTCATAGAATGTCATATTATTTTCATCTATCGTTGGTTTCATTCATATGTGTGTTAGTATGCAAAAAATGTTGCAAGAAACAAAATATTAAGGCAGAAACAAAAAGGCATAAAGATAAGGATGGAAAAATTTAGCATGCTCTCGTAGCGAGCATGGCGAGAGAAGGGGTAGCTCGCCTAGCAAGCTCCAGCGAAGCCAAGGCGAGGCAAAATAAATGAAATTCCAGTGGCAAAAATTTTCATGGTCGCCCAACGAGAGTTTATTGTTTTGAGTGATAATGATAAATTGTATCATATTTTTAGACTTATTACGCATATGATTCGTCCGTTTTTATCACGTTTTATTTGCATTTTACTCTATTTTGTTGTGTTTTGTAGTTGATAGCTTCATTCGTTGCAGAATCGGGAGCGAAGTTGAAAAATAGTGAAAGAAGAGGAAAATGCAGCAAGAAAGAAGAAAATTTGCCTTTTTTCCTGATATGGCGTTCGCCGTGACTATATGGCATTCCCGATACATCAGCTTGTCACGTAATTTATTAAAGAAAGGCTATGGAGTTTACCAAGACCTGACGGTGTTTTCCATAGCAGCGCTGTTGTAAAATTCAAATTCGGCAATCGTTTTGAGCAGTTACGACACTTCCTTTTTTCCCTCCACTCATGGTCAACGTCCAGGATCATTGAGATCATCATTTTCTCTATATATAAGACTCCTTAGTCATGTTCCAGAGACCAGGGAAAAATTTCCAAAAAGCTCTATCAAAATTATGTTTAGATTTTAGGCATTAATTTAGTGTCAAAGCTGCAATTACTCACATCGAGGAATTGTCACACTTTTTATTGTAACTTTCTTTTCTTTGATGTACTTTTGGATTACGAACAAGTCTGTCGATATTATTTCAATTCAGCTCATTATTTGTACTCTACATGTTATTTCTTGTTTTTAGTTTTGCACTTGAATTACTTTAATTTTGTATGCAATGTTTATTTTAATTTTGATTACCGTTAATATGTTTTCTATGAATAATATGTCTTGCTAAATTTAATTGAGTTCGGCGTATGAGGACTTTTGTTATCGACGGGACTCCGTAGAAAATTTAGGTGCAAAATTATTGATCGTATGTTAGTAATGGTCTTTGTTTCTAATTTTCATGTTTTATTATTTCAACACGAGAGTGAGAAATATACTAAGTTCAGACCGATAGCGCGAGAGTGTGAGGAATGAACTGATAGTGGAAACTAGGCATCGATCTTAAAACAACGAGAGCGCTTTAGGCATCCTTTATAATTTCATTAACTTCCAAAATACGCTTTTTAATTGAAACGGGTGAGTGAGAGCAAAATCCTATGGTTGAAAGGTGTGGTTCTTGTCAATAGCGTGAGTGTGTGTTCGCCATGAAAATTGCTGAACAACCGCTGGTCTTCCCAATCGAAAAAGATCCTATTAGTGTGTATATATGTCAATTAATTTTTTTTTTGCTAGTTTAATTTTATAATAATATATATAATTACCTCGGTAATTTTCTATTGAACATTATAATTGATACTATCTTTGTCACTAGTATCTTTAAACTCTGAACCGCGCCTTTCTGACATATATCTTTCTTTATCCTTTAACAATTCACGAATTTGAACTTTTAATTCCTCCAACGATTCCATCACTTATTTATTGCTCGGAATTTTACTCTTTGGATGTTTATACAAACTTGTTGGAGTGGCCCCGAATCCCTTACCCCTCACATGACCAGAATACTCAGAAACATTTAATACTCGACTTTGTATACTCCTGTAATCATGGTCTCCAGCTAGAGTTAAAGACTGAGATAGATTCTCCTAAAATTCATACGCATATAAAAAAATATTAGTGGGGATTAAAAAGCATAAATATTATATGTTAATAAACTTTTTATTTAATTAAAGAAATAATGTTATACTTACACATTGCTTAAATAAATAGTAGTTATCTGATAGGGTAAAGCTCTAATCATTTTTGTGGTTAAAGCTAAAATATGTTACTTTGGATTATGATGACCAGATCTGGAGGTTAAATACTTTAACTTGTGTATCTGATGTTATGTAGACCACTTTTTATAATTTTTTCAAAATTTGGGATGTAATTTTGGATTCTTTCTTGTCATTTTCTGTGTAATATATACTTCATTGACTCGATTTTGTCATAAATATATATTTTAGTTTGGTATGTTTAGAAAATATTGAATAAAAATTGATTTTTAACTTAAATAATATTATGATTTTTTTCTTATAAATTAAAAAATAATAAGGGATATTGTTTTAAAATCCTACTTTTTAATGTGATTTGCTGCACTTTATAAATTCAATTTATTTTTCATTACTTTTTTAGGATTTTTTTTTATTTTCAGATATTAACTTTTAGACTAATATAACATTTTTCATTGACTCGCTTCAAATTATTTCTTTATTTTCTAAAAGTGAGAACCAGTATTACATTTTTAGAATAATATAATATTTTTTATTTACTCATTTTCATGTGAATAAGCAAATAGTATCTCACCGTAGAATATTTAATGCAAATCCATTATTTCCATATGTATAATATTTTTAATTGACTCAGTTCAAATTATTTCCTTATTTTATTTTATTTTTACAAAAATACTCTAATATTTATATCATTTGAGACATAGGTGAATCAATCTCATTTTATTATCAATCTCACTTTTGCCATCAAAAATTGCAATTTCTATACGAATATTTGGTCAGAGATGGAGAAAGTTAGCAACTACATACCCAATGATCTCATAATCTCCATCTTATCAAAACTACCGTTGAAATCGTTGAAGCGATTTGAATGCGTGCAAAAATCATGGACCCTCTTATTGAAAGATTCTCATTTTGTGAGTGCTTTTCGCAAAAAAATTATGTCAAAAACTCTTTTTGGTTTTGATGATACATCTTATCTCATGCGATATTATATGTTTGGGGCTCCGAATGTTCGATCATATTTTTATTTTCTTTTTGGTGAGTGATTAGAGAATAAGGTTAAGATGGATTACTCTCTTCCATTTGTAGATCATGGCCAAGGTTTTATTGTTGTAGGGTCTTGTAGTATCAATGGAATTCTTGGTATCGTTAGTCACAATGAAGGCTTTGCATTATGGAATCCAACTATTGACGAATACAAGGTAATTCCTCCAAGTCCCGCTGAGTCTGTACCTTATCGAAATTTCTCATGGCTTATTCATGGATTTGGTTATGATCATGTTAAGAATGACTATAAAGTGCTTCGGCGTATATTTTTTTATCAGCTAAACCGCCATGATTGTGAGTGTCTTGGTTTGGATGAGGAAAATGTGCCTTGGAAAGATGTATCATATGAACCTGTGTGGGAGATATATAGTCTAAGAAGTGATTCTTGGAGGAAAGTAAATATTAACATTCCCATGACAGTCCCTTATATTTTTATGATCCCTAACAATGATGATAGAATTGATCGATGTTACACAAAAGGAATGTGTCATTCGTTGTATAAAGTTAGCGAGTACATTTTCCAAACATGTTTGATGTCATTTGATGTTTGTAATGAGGTAGTTTTTACAACACCCATGCCCTCATACATGAATGATAATATGGATCCTGAATGGAACTATAAACACTTGATGATATTAATTAAAGGATTCATTGCATTATCATCGCATCACGGGGAGACTAATACAATTCATATATCAATTTTAAATGAAATTGGTGTGAAAGAATCTTGGACTAAAGTTTTTATTCTAGGACCATTGGCTTGTGTTGCATATCCTTTTGCAGGAGGAAAGAATGGAGACTTATTCTTAAGAAAAGAGAATGGAGAACTTGCATGCTTTGATTTGGATACCCAAATTATTAATGAGCTTGGTGTTGAAGCCTATAAATCCCATATCATAGTTTATAACAAAAGCCTACTTTCGATTAGAAGCATACATGATTAAGTTTTATTGTTTTCACCCAAATAATTTATTAAAATAGTTTTTATACTTATACATTAATAAAGAAACCGTTCAATAATATGTATTGTGATTTATCAATTTTAATTTAAAGTTTATTATATGTTGGCTAATATACGTTTTAAATTTGCTATCTAAAATTTGTTTTCATGGTATGACTAGACATTGGAAAAGTGTTTGTCATTACTAGATCCAAGATATTCATCTATATAATTCGAATAAGGTTCCTGTAAGGGACCGACTCCTTGTGTCGAAAGTATTCCTGACGTTGTGGTTATGAGGCGTGTTCTATTGAAGTGCCCAAGACAAAATAAGGGTGTCTCTAAGCAGCGGTACAAGCATGTGGATGAAAGAACTCCACTTGAGGGGGAGCATAGTGGATGGACTCACACTTGAGGGGTAGATTGTTGGGGAAAATGTGATTTGTTGTGAATCGAGTGTGCGTTCTAAGTCCCACAATGCTTAGAAAAGTGAATGTTAAGTACTTTATAAGTAAGAGGACCCATACACCTATTACCTTAAGTTTTTTGGTGAATATGTGGTGTCTCGCTCACTTGTTTGGGTGAGTCTTTGATCTTTAGGTGAATGTTTAACCCAATTGTAGCACCCCGAAATTTTCCCTGTCTTTTTCTATCCTTGATTAACTTTTGCTTTAGGTTCATTTGCATCAACATTAGGTCATAATCCATAATCATACTTTGAATTGGTCTTCTAAGACATGGGATCAGGAGTTTCTCTAGATCCGATTATCAATTAAAGAAGAATTTTGTTAAATCAAGATATTTTTGTCGGTTGAAGCGCATGTGTGAATTATTGAATAAAATATGAGGTTGTGAACTCTTTATGACCAAGGTTTTAATTCATGTTCAATTATTTTTTGCTTATAAGGTAATCTGGATTCTTTATGATGTCAAAATGTCAAAGCATCTGGTTCAATCATCATCCAAGAATTGATTAAAGCATAAGAATTTGAAGTTGTGTTCATCGCATATAGCTTTGTAGGAATTCAGGTTCAAAGCACGTTTTCAAATATCTTTCAAAGCAAGGTTTTGAATCATAGTCATCGAAAAAAGGGGCTTCTTTGACAAGGCTCATGCCAATAGAGCATAAATGTTTTCTGGCCTCATAGGTTTGATTGGGAAGAACATTATCCTCCATAAACATATCTTTCATAAGGGCTAATAACTCTGTGAAACATTTATTCGACCATCCGTTTCCCACCTTTTAGTTGTACAACTTTAATACCACAGATAATCTTATGAATTTAGTGCAGCCTTTATAAAAAATTTTCTCTGCATCGATTACCAACCTCTCAAATATTGTAGGACAATCCTGAAGATCTTCTTCAAGTGTTTCTGCAATCTCTTAGACTCGATCACAATCGTATATATTTTTGCCATTATCTTTTGAAGCATAGGCCGTATTATCCCCCGGTTCAACATTCTCGTTACTTATCTCACCATGTAATATCCAACATGCATAACGTCGATCAATTCCATGCCTTTTCAAATGCAACTAAATTGCGTCAATCTGACGCCCATAACAACAACCTAAGAAAACACATGTGATTCGACTGGGGACTTTGGTGTGTTCAACAACAAACTTAACGAATTCTAATACCCCATTTTCGTACTCTTTTGACAATCGATTAGAAGATATCCATTTTTTATCCATGGTTTTACTAAGAAAGCTAAACAAAAACACTAATTATTCACGCAACTATAGCAAAAGAACATCTAATTACTTGTAGAGAAGTCAACAACTTCTGGAACCATACATTGTAAGATTCTTAGAAACGATCAAATTCACACTTCACGAGTAACCCCTATAGCATGCAAATTCACTAAGTTAGTAACTGATGGTGTACCAAATATAACAAGACAAATTTAGTATATAATAGGACAAACAAGATATATTGGAGAAACAAGTCAAAGTCTCAAGAATATAATTGTAAACATCAACACTTCCTTCAATTAAGCAACATGGCATCGACACACAAATTCAATCACATTAATTCAAGTAGCATAGTATATTTTGATTCATCACAAAGGACACATCAACACTTATTTTTTCAACTCAAGTAAGTCATAAAAAACAACTACATCACTTAAGTTCAATTAACTTCAAAGTTCTATCCAACAAAGAATCATTAATTCGAGCATAAAACAATTACCAAAATTATCAATTCCACATTTAAACTCAATAGCAAGTTCAACCTCAACAATTAACAATTAATTTCATCACTATTCTTCATCTTCGACCTCAACAATTAACAATTAATTTCATTATCATTTTCGATCAACAATTATATCAAAACAAAGTAATCACTAACAATTATCCATCAACAATGCCATTATCATCAATTAATTTCAACAATTCATCACTAACATTCAACATCAACTTACAAAATTAACACCAATATTCTCAAAATAAATTCACCACAAATATTACTATTTATCATCTTCGACCTTACTACAACAATTTCAAAATCAAATTCTCACAACAACCACATCAACACTATCAATTTCTTGCTCAAAAAAGGAAAAGAAGACATACCTTGCTCAAAATGAAGGAGTTCCGAAACAAAAAAAAAGTAGGATTTACGGCGGAGGGAGTTGTGAAGAGACGAAGACACAGCCGGCAGAGATGGTGGAAACCAAAGAGAGGGAGTAGCGTGAGGGAGATACGACGGTGGAAGTAGAGACGAGAGAGAGAGAGAGAGAGAGAGAGAGAGAGAGAGAGAGAGAGAGAGAGAGAGAGAGAGAGAGAGAGATTATCAAAGTTGTTTTCAAAAATTAGGATTCTACAGTATTAACGTGTTTCTGTTTTTATTTTTCAGAAATTAAACACCTAAGGCATCACTTTTAGAAAGCGCTTTCTTATGTATTCAATTTAGCAGTGCTTTTTCATTAAAAGTGCTTTCTTTTCATAGTCTTATAGTAGCACTTTCCCGAAGCGCTTACTATGGTTGAGTTTAGGAATGACCTTTAGCAGCGCTTTTTAATAGTGCTTTCTAAAGGGAGCCTATAGTAGCACTTTTCAAAAGCACTTTCTAAAGTGTAGCCTACGTAAGGCCTTTAGCAGCGCTTTTTTATAGCTTTTTTTAAAACTTATAGCAGCGATTTGGGGTAAAAGAATTGTCTATTTAGTGCTGCCAAAAATCAATTTTGGTGTAGTGATTCAGTTTTATGTGATCTGAATCAAAATTTTAACATGATATGAATCAAATTCTTTTTCCTAAAAACCATGTTAGTTATTTGTCATTTGATTCGAATCAAATTTTGTGCTTGATTCAAATCACGGTTTCTTTGATCTGAATCAACTAGCATATTTTGAAAAAATTAGTTATATCTTTAATTCCACCTCATTTTGCTCATTTTGATACAAATCATATTTTTCTTGATTCAAATATAACCACCTTTTTCAACCATTTTGTGTGCTTTATCTTAAGCACTTATAAGTCATTTCTGTCATTTTTTTACACAGAACATCTATCATTATGTTAAGATTTTTCCTTGTGATTTTGTGTGAAAATCAATTTCCATTGTTTTGAGTGTTCAAAGTCTAACTACGAATATGTCACGTCTCCAACTTCAATTGAGTTTTGATCTTGATAAAGGGATTTTTGGGAGTGATTGAAAGAGGTGCGTACTTGAAACTAACCTTTCTTGGAGATCTTGTTATGTTTTCAAGTTGTTATTAAGAACGAGGGATTGTCAATGGTGGTGAAAAGTTCCATTGAAAAGAAGTAGGTTCTTTTAACCAGCATTGCCTTAGTAGTAATTATGTAGAAGGCTATAGATAAGGCATAATTCTTCTTGGATCTTCAGACAATTTCATCGCTCAAGTAATTTATAGGATCAAGGGGTTAATAGTTACACAAGAAGGCTTGGAGCATAATTGGTGTTATTGGAAGGTTCAAGAACTGTATTCGAGTAAATATTACATATAAGAGTTTGGCAAGTTTGCTATATACAAGTAAAGATACAAATTAGGAGATTTATTTTCTCAGTTGTAATTGTGGATTGGTGATTGTATAGATCTTGGAAATATTTGTCAAAACAAGGAACTATACATGTTCCAATGGTAAACCATTGAAGAGTGTATGTAGGCCAAGAGAGGACGAACGCTGAAGCACTATAAGTCTGGGTGTCATCTCTCTAAATCTTACTCTTGCATTTATATTTGTAGTGATTGCATGTAGGTTTTTCAATTCCTTTGTATCATATCATTTTGGTCTTAATAGCAATTTATTAAATAATGTTTTAGGTTTTTTTGGAATTAGACAACTAGTAAAGCTAGTATTGTCATTGATAAATTTAAAAACAAATTGAATTTATGATTCCACACATTGAATCAAATGTGTACACTTCTAATTACTACACAAATTGAATCAAATCATACCAAGATATTCATCTTTATAACTTGGATATGTGTGAAACTAACTGTGTTAGCTTGATCATATTCAATTATATAGTTTTCATTTTCGATTTAAACCCTCCGCTCGTAACTCTTTTGAAAACACTCTGATTTTGGAAAACGGTAGTTGCATTTTTTAATTTTAGTTTATTCACCTCTCTCTATATTTTTTTTCTACTTCTATGTTCACACCCAACAATTTGGAAACAATTGTGCAAATTTTTAATGTAAATTTCATCAAAATCTGATGTTGAAAAACTGAGTATATTTCATCAAAATTTGAGTGTGAATTTCGAAGAAATTTTTTGACATAATTTGTATTCCATCATACAATAATCACAGACATAATTTGAATACAATTGTGTCTAATTTGCAGACAATTGTAGACATAACTTGTATTCCATCATATAACTAGTATTACATCAAGAACTGAGTTTACATTTTTGACATAATCTAGAGACAATTGTGTCTACAATTGTGTGTACACCATAACCTGCATAGAACCATACAACTGAACATGTATCAGCATCATACAATAGAACATGTATTTCATATCATCAATACAA